GGGGTTCCGTGGTATCCGGGGGTGCCCTGCCCCCTCGTGGCGGGAGGTCGGCATAACAACCAGGCCACCGCCTCCGAGCTGCCCGGACGGATTCCCCAGGCGTCCATCCTAAGGGCTTTCAGTAGAGGGCGCTGCTGAGATAGCCCTGTTTGTATGATGGGGCTGCACATGTTTTCTAGCGTAACGGTTAGTAGGTGGGTTTTACACACACACACACACAAAAACACTAAAAAAAACTTGCCAAGTGCATAATTATGGGCCTAATGTTAGTTACTGATTTCTTAAAAATCCAAATTCTGATATTCTATACTTAACCCACGAAACTCCTGCCCAGACCCAGGAGTATGTCCACCTGGGCCAACCTGCCTCATCTCTGTGTTTCTCAGCCTCTTGCCTTCATCGCCGCTTCAGGTCCCTAACGCCTGCTTAGCCAATGCCTCACATTAACCGCCCTGCCAACACGGAGCGGGAGGGCTCTGTCTCCCTTCTTGGACCCCGAATGACCAGCTACACTGATACAGCGGGTTGGCTGAGGGGTGAGGACCCGCAGTGAAAACCTGCAACTGAGAAAAGTCACAGCTGGGTCTGTGGTAGCAGCTTCCACCGGTGGGAACCGGGCACGCGGAGCACGTGTTGAGTGCTTGCTCCGGGCGGCACTGTTCTAACCCACTGGCCCAGAATCACTGTATGGGGCTGAGCGTCCGCCCAGAATCTCAAACCACGGCCTCGTTTGCAGAGTCACCGCTGATGTAACTAAGGCGAGGGTCTGTAAATGAGAGCATCCTGGGTCAGGGTGGGCCCCAGATCCCATGACTGGCGTTCTGGGAGAGGAGGGAAAGACACACCCAGAGGAGAAGGCCACGTGAGGGCTGAAGCAGAGAGTGGAGGGATGCGGCCACAAGCCAAGGACACCTGGAGCCACAGAAGCTGGAAGAGGCAGGAAGGACCCTTCCCCAGAGCCCCAGAGAGAATATGGTGCTACGACACCTAGATTTTGGACTTCTGGCTTCTAGAACTGAGTGAGAATAAATAATCTTCACTGTTTCCAGCCACTGACTCTGTGGTAAGTGGTTACAGCAGCCGCAGGAAACGAATGTAATCGCTCACCGAATTCTCGCTCAAAAGCTGTGTTTAAAGAGCCATCTGGACACCCAGGTTCTTCTCTGTGGGTCTCTGGGTTTTCCCCAGAGCAGGCGCATTCTCCAGGCTTCGTGCCACCCTCAGGCCTTTCGTGGCCAAGTTAGCCCTGAGCTCCTCCCTAGTCCTGGGGGAGCCTTCCTGGCCTGGGAGTGAGCCCAGCCCCAGCTCGCCTCCTGCAGTGTGTCTTTGAAACTAAGACAGGAGCCGGTTTCGGGGGCTCATCTAGTGGGGGGGGGGTGAGCGGGCCAGGGCTGTGGGGGAGAGGGACCCAGCCCTGCTCACTGTGCAGGAGCCATAGACCAGCAACAACCCTCCCCACTGCCCCTCCCTGTGACAAGGTCTGAAGGGGACACTCAGCTTGCTTTACCCCAACTTGCTGAGTCTCTTAAGGATCTCAGTGTAGATTTTTCATTTCATACAAGGTGAGAGCCCCTGCTGTTCTGTTCTCTCCCCACCTGGCTCTGCAAGGTCCTGGGAAGGCATGAAATGACTCCACTCAGTTACCACTGGGTCCTTCTGTCACCAAGCCTGGGAGGCCCCGCGGTGACTGTGCTTGCAGGGTAGTCCTGTCTGTGGGCTGGGCTGCCCGGCATCGTCTGCACTGTGACAGGGGTGGAAGGTGCTAAGGGGACGGGTGTTAAAAGTGGTTACAGAATCCATGTCGTGTCCTTGGAGCAGATGGGAGGGAGGAGCCCCTCCTGCCGCAGCCAGAGTCCTGCTCCAGGGACTAACAGACTAATGAGCCACGTGGACCTCCTGTGTCCAGTGCTGGTGTGGCAGGTTGGGCCAGCCCCATAGCCTCAAGTGGGACTCTGTCCCTCACCAGTGCGGTGAGGAGGAAGGGTCAGAAACTTGGAGGCCTTCTGCGGTCACCCAGGGGTGCTCACGGGCCTGGGACTGAAGGGGGATTCGGTCTGGCTGAGAGATGGAGTTCCAAGAGCTGGAAGGGATAGTTGAGTTATCACTAGAAATGGGATAAGCAGATTCCATCACAAAAGAAGGGGTGGGGGTCCCAGCAACGTCCTGAGAATTCCGAGTGTCCTGCTTGGAGGAGGGGCCTGGGACACACCTCCAGAGACTGTTTCTCTCTTCCTAGGCTTCCATCCTGCCCTGTCTCGCTGAACTTGACAAGTGATTATAAGTTTAGTCTCCTGAGAGTGTAAAAGCTCCCCTGGGAACCTCACCCAGCCCCAAGCAAGCACCCACCAGGCTCCAGGAGGTGCTGGAGCTGAGAAATGTCCTCAACGTGACCACCAGGGGGCAGCCGCACCCAGAGTTCCTTCCTCATCTGGAGACGGGCTGACCGCCCAGAGCCCAGGTATCCCAGTGATATTCAGAGAACACACACCAGTCATGATTAGAGACTTTAATTTTCTAAAAAGATCATATTAATACCTCAAAAGGCACATTGCCCTATCCACTGACCACGTGAAATGCTGCGTACAAAATATTAACTGAGATAGTTTTTAAGGAGCTCAGGACAGTAGCTGGGCACGGCATGCAGCCGCGTCTGCTAACCCAGATTTAAAATGCGGTGACAGGCATCTGAAAGCGTGTGGCTGGGTGAGATGTGAGGCCCTGGGAGGTGAGCTGAGCGCTGGCCGCTCAAGGATGGAGAAGACTAGAGCTCATGGCCTCTCCCTCTGCGGAAAGGTCCAGGAGTCCCAGGGGGGGAGTGAACTGTGATAAGGAGGCAGTTCCACGCCAGGAATATCAAGGTCAGTGTGACTCACACAGGGCCATGTGCACCCAGGTCCCCCCCATACCCAAGCTCCTGCCCGCCTTTCCTTCAATATGGGTGAGACAGGTCTGTCTGAAGCCAGGGACCACACGGGGGCTATGAGATGCCAGCAGTAGTGGGCTTTCGGGGCCCATGAACCCCCAAGGTGGTAGGCAAAATGTTGTATGAATATTTGGGGGGATCATTAGCTTTCATTACATTTTCAAAGGACTCTGTGACCCCAAGAATCACCCACCTTAAAGACTGTGTCATCCAAGCCAGGGCTCTGCCCAGAGATGTCCCAGCTAGAGCTCCCAGCACTGCTGGCGGCCCCCATCCGTACAGGAAACCAGACGGGAGCCCACGGACAGAGCTGTCTACGTGAGGATGGCCAGCGGTGCTCCATGTTGCTTTTATGTTCTGTGCAGGCCGTGAACAATTATGTCTTAATTAAATATTCCACCCTCTTCAGGTGAGCGTGCAGGTGAGCGTGCAGGTGTCACAGAGCCCGGGCACTGCCCATGGCCGCTGGGGAAGGAGGCTGAAGCCCCAGGGACACGGGTGCTGGACTCGGGTCGGGCGTGCTAACGAGGCTTCCTCCTGCCGCATGAGGAGGGTTCCAGGCACCTGCACCCAACCCCCTTCCCGTCTCTTGTCTGCGAGGGGAGCGTGGGGTCTCTGTCTTGTGAGGGGAAGGAGGGCAGGGAGGAAAGCATCTGTCTGGGGGGGAAGGGTTAGAGACGCCGTGCGAGTTTCCCGTGGCTGCCGTAAGAGAGGAGCCCAACTGATGTGGCCTAAAACCATAGAAACTCGTCTCCCAGTTCTGGAGGCCAGAAGTTGAAGTCAAGGTGTCACGGGTCCTGCGTCCTCTGTGGCCTGCAGGGGAGACCCCCTCCTCGCCTCTGCCAGCCGCTGGCCGTGGCCCTCACCCTGCCTTCCTTGGCTTGTGGCTGCGTCACTCCGCTCTCCACCTCTGTGGCCACGTAGGGTTCTCCACAAGTATCCGTGTCCAACTCTCCCTCTTCTTCGAAGGACGTCAGTCATACTGGATTAGGGCCTACCCCAGTGACCCCATCTTACCTGGATGACATCTGCAAAGACCCTGTTTCCAAATAAGGACAAATGTGCAGGTACCAGGGCCTTGAACAAATCTGGGAGGACATGATTCACCCACAGTGGGCACATAAGCTCAAGAGGCCCTGCCACCTCGGTGCCGTGTGTTGCCGCTTGCCCATGCCCCCCCCGGGCTCGTGGGGTAGTGGAGGTGCTTGCCCTCCTGCCGTGATAACGGAGCACCTTCCTCTGTATACATTCTGAAGCGGGAGTTTTCTCTTCTGCATCTTAGTCCCACAAGGTAGGTTTGTTAGTTAGAATATTGATTCTGCTGCTGTAACATAAACCAAAATAACAGTGGCTTCAGGAAGATTGTAGTTAGTTAGTCTCCTTCCTATAAAGTCTGAGCTGGAGAGTGTCCAGAAAGGTCGAGGGACCCTGCCCCGTGGCATTGCTGAGGGACCCAGACTCTGCCACCTGCCCATTTCCGGAGTGAAAGCTAGCTCACCACCCCACCCACGTCCCAGCCACTGGGAAGCGGGAGAGGGAAGCCGAGGACACGTCCCTTCCTTTTTAAGAATCGCTCAGAAACTGCCCTCGTCACTCCCACCGGCCAGAACTTTAACACGTGACCTTGCTAGCTGCAAGGGAGTCTGGGAAACACAGCTCTTATCCTCAGAGGCCACAATCTCAGGGGACAGATCCAAGGGAGCAGCTGACAGCCTATGATAGAAGAATTTTAGAGAAATAGTGTTGCTAATCCACCCCTTATAACAGCAAAAAGTTGTGTCCAGACAATACAGAGTATAAGAGAGCACAGGGTTAGAAACATCCGACTTTCCCGCAGCCTCTGTCCAGTTTTAACCCGTCGTGGGGTCATGATGAATGCTTCGTCTCGGGGAGGTACGCGTTGGGTCGCTCCACGGCCAGCTGGTTTTCAATGACGTAGCAGGCCCTGTAGCTCTCCAGAACCCGGGCCTGCAGGTAGGCCTTGTCTTTCTCCTGCCAGGTGTCCGACTCGATGTACACGTTGAAGGGGTCGTGGGAGTGCTCGAGCTTCTTGGAGCGGATGTAACTCAGCATGATGCCCAGCGTGAAGAAGCCAAAGAAGCCGAGCACCATGAGGATGTAGAGGGCCTCCATCTCGCCGTTACTGCTGCCGGGCACCCTGCGGGCCAGGCTGGACGAGTTGCCGCCCAGCTGAATGGACTCCTGCCACAGACTGGTCAGGAGGGGCGTCGCGGCCGTAGTGTTAGAAGGGCTCATCCTGGACTTCAAGGTCCCACCGCGGGAGTGAACCTCCTGGGCCAACTCTCTGAAAGTAAAGAGCAACCAGAAATCAGAAACCCAAACCCACACATCACACACACAAAGGCACACAACTTTCAAAACCTCAGGTGAGAGGGGGCCTCCACGCCCCAGTCCAGGCCATGTGCCACCTCAGGTTGGCACAGTAGCCTTTCTTGATTGATGGATTGATAAATTGATTCCTTTTTATTTCCATTCACCAGCCCCAGCCCCACCTCCACGGGCGACCACCAGAATGAGCGCCTTTAATTTACACATCACGTTGTATGTGCGCAGTTTGGTTCCTGTGCTAAGGACCCAATTGTGTCCCTCCCCCCAATTCATATGAAGCCCTTGCCCTCACAGTGACTGCACCTGGAGCCAGGCTCGTTAGGAGGTAATTAAGGGTAAATGAGGCCCTAAGGGTGGGCCCTGGCCCCTTAGGACTGTCTTCAGGAGACTAGGAAGCCTGATCTATCTTTCCCTGCCACTTGAGGACACCCTGAGGAGGTGGCCACCTGCAGGCCAGGAAGCGAGCTCTCGCCAGAAACCAAGGCCTGTGGAGCCTTATCTTGGGCTTTCCAGCCTCCAACACTGTGAGAAAACAAATGCTGTTGTCAAGTCCAGCCCACGGTGTTTTGCAGGCAGCCTGAGCGACCAACAACACGTTATATAAATGGTATTGGGTTGCACATCCCCTCCCCTTGTTTCCTCCTCAGCACCGTGGCCTCCCGGCCCACGCACACTCTACGTGGCCACATTCCTTTCCTTCCCACTGGGCTCGGTGCCCACGCGGGCGCCCACTGCTCCTCTGGGCCCCTCCCCCCGAGCTGGGCCCCGCTGGGCCCCTGACTCCACAGAGGGGTGACACCAGCCTCACGGACCTGGGCAATCTCACACTGCACACAGCTGGTGCCTGGGGTTTATACAGCAGGTCAGACCGAGGTGCTGCCAGGCACCCAGAAGGAAATGCCCCCGGGAACTCATCTGAGTGGAAAACCTACCCTACCACAAGGCAGCCCTGGGCATGGTCTGTGAGATTTCCTGTGGAGCTCCCTTCTCGGGGGCACTGTTCCAGCTCACGCTGTGCTTGCCCCCCTCTGCCCCCTCCCCCCACGAATGGCGCCCAGGAGCCATGTGGAAGGTGGGCGCAGCTTTGAAAACCTGCCAGGCCAACTTGCTCAACCTTCAGCGTCCCTTTGAACAGATGCAGCCATGGCTCCACCCCTGGAGTGTCTGATCCAGGAGGCCTGTGGCCCGAGAATGTGCATTTCCGACACGTTCCACCTGCGGCCGACACCGCTGGTCCGGGTGGGGGGACCCCACTCGGTGACTTATCAGAATCACCTGGCGCTTTAAAAAATGACTACTGCTTGGATCCTGCCTCCAAAGGTTGGGCTATCCCGTCAGGGTGCCGTCTGGCACTGGGACTTCTAAAGGCTCCCCAGGGGGCCCTAACTTGTGCCGAGATGGAGAACTGCTGGGCTCGGTGTGGCGGGGACCTTAGGAAACTGACCAATCGTCTTTGGAGCTGCAGGGCACTGAGAAAATTTTTATAGGAAGAGGAACGTGATTTCACAGCATGATTTTCCAATCTCATTTGTTTTTCGGATTTTCTCTCTGGCCTTACATGTCCCTGATGCGATCGGAAGAGAAACTGCCGGGAGAAATTCTCACGTCTCCGCTCTATCCTCAGCTGGCCCCATCCTAACTCACGTCGGCGTCGTAAACTATGAGGAGCCTGTCAGAGCTTTATGCCGGACCAGAGAAGTCAAGTTAATTAATCGCCCTTCAAATAACAACTCCGAAATGCTAAAGAAAAACCTGTTTCTTACTTTGCGCTTAATTTACTGCACGGCTTTTGCTAACCGCCTCTGCGCCCCCCAAGGCTCCCATGTTGGGTCACGTGGCGTTTTTGTTTAATGAGTCTGAAAATGAGCTTGGCAACATCCTCTAATAGCGCGGTTTTAATGACACAGATCTCAATCTGCATCTCAGCTGGGGGCGTATGTCCCAGTCCCCAAGTTCACTTCCATTTTAATGACAGAACAGTGCCCAGTGGCCGTGGTTTTACACCTGGACTCAGATGAACCTGGAGAGCGACAGATCCCACAACCTCAACGTACAGAAAACTGGGCTCCACAGGGGTGAGCGGACTCACCCAAGGTCATGACTCTTATCAAAAACACAGCTACATCTTAAACATTTAGCACAGAAAAAGCAGTTCTCGTGTCTTTGCCGAGACGAATGGATTCTCTACTTAGGCTCAAAGGACCTGAGGAACCGGCCACTTGTATGCAGTAAAACTCGGTCTACCTCAGTGGGGACGGTCTCCTGACTGACCCCTCCCCACTGGGGGAAACCACAGCTTTTGGCACCTTGTACAGTGAACGGGGGGGGCTGGGGAGCGGGAGCAGCAGGAACAGAGGCCCCAACTCCAGGCACAACCAGCCTGAGGCTCAGCCTGTGCTGCACATTCTCAGGGCCTAGCCCCGGAGCTGCTGGAATCACCCAGGACTCGGGGCTCTGGCTGCTGGGCCGAGCCGACAGCTCCGCGCGGAGACCAGCTGGGCCCCAGGACCGGGCTCTGGGAAGCCCGGCTGCGTCCGAGAAGGGGTGGCCGGGACGTCAGCTGCCCTGGCACTCAGCAGCCCTCGCCTTCCCCCACGCGTTCCAGTTGTTTCTATCAGCACTGATAGCAGCCCGGGAGCTTTCAGGTCCGACTTCCCAGCACTGCCCTCTCCATTCCTTCCTAAGCACTTGCTGGACGGGCCAGGCTGCTGTGGCTGCCTCCGTCCCAGCTTTGTTCTGAGAGGGACAGGTCCCGGGCTCAGTGGGGGAGGGGGAGTCAGGCTCATCGCTCAGGGACCTGAGATGCAGCCCAGCTCAGTCCAGGTGCCCCCTGGGCCTCAGCATGCTCATCTGGGCAGGATGGGAACAGCGTTCCTGTCATTCTCAGCAGCATTCCTTCAGCGTTTTCTTGGAGCGTCACGTCTTGAAACCATCACTAGGCCTGATCTGTCTCGGGAAGCAGACTGAGGGTAGAACAGTTGTGGATAAGTCTAATTTAGGTGACTAGGATCTTGTAGCGTCAAGAATTGTATGAGCCAATTTTCCTTAGAAGCAGCTGTCAACTGTTTGCATCAGGGGCCCCCCAACCCTTCCAGGCGGTCGGCCGGCTTTGTCTTGGTCTTCCCACCTGACCCTCCACGTCACTAAGGTGGCCTGGGTCTCAAGGGTTCAGGATGACCCTGCGCAGAGGCTCAGCATCCGACCGTCCCCCCGGATCTGAAAAGGGCTTTTCCGCCGCCTCCCCGCTGGGCGTGGGGCATGGCTCCTGAGTCCGGCCCGTCATAGGTCCAGGAGCTTCCCAGGCCTGTCCATGGGTGACGGAGAGGGGACTTGGGGCGTGAAGGGTGGAAACGGGAAGCAGCGAGCTGGTGAGAGGGACCCGGTCACACTCAACACGGAAAAAAGACGAGCATTTGAGCACCTGGCACTGAGAAGGGGCGATCGTAAGATTCCCAGGCTCTGGGGGCAGCTGAAGTCACGTGGACGGCAGACAGACGGACTCTCACCTCAGCAAGTTAAATGCACCCGGGAGCCTCTGTTTCTGAAAACTGGCACTAATGGGCTCCGCCCTGAGTGCGCCACGGGGTCTGCGAGGCGGGGAACAAGCCCGGCTTTCCCATCTCTGCTTTGCCGCTCCCTCTGCGAGATGTTGACACCCGTATTTGTCTCAAAATTCCCCTGGGCTTTCGGAAGCCTGCCCCATGCCCACCTGTGTGAACCCCATCCTGACATCCCCGACCCTCTGACCCCCCACAGCACCCGGCCCATCAGCTCACATTCTAACTTGGACTGTAAGGATTTGCTTCCAGCTCAGCACGGTCCCAACTCCAGCACCCAGAACGCTGCAATCAGGGTTTGCCGAATTCAGTGACAACTGCCACGTGAGGGCAAATAACAGATGAAGTGTAATACGCTCTGGGGAGAAATCGGCAGGAACCAAATGAAAACCTCTATCAATGTAGCATGTTTTCATCTAATAAAATTTAAACTATTTTAATTTACATTATTTATGTATTTGTCTTGTATATTAAAATGTGTATGATTAGTCCTAGCCAGTCTGGCTCAGTGGTTAGAGCGTCGGCCCATGGAACGAAGGGTCCCGGGTTCAATTCCTGGTCAAGGGCATGTCGTACCTCTGTTGCAGGTTTGATTTGATCCCTGGCCCCAGCCAGGGCCAGTGCAGGACGCAACCAGTCGATGTGTCTCTATCACATCGATATTTCTCTCTCCCTTCCTTCCACCTCTTTCTGAAAAGCAGTGGAAAAAATATCCCCAGCTGGGGATTAAAAACAAAAACAAAGTGTGGGATTAGTATCACTATGTATGTGCCTGCAGCCCACCATATTCCTGCAGAGGTATGAGCCAGTCAGCAGTTGTTAATAATTCAGCATGGTTTCCATTCCGCGCCCCACTCCCCGGGGCCCACGCTGGCTGTTTTCCACGGTACTCACCACCTGCTAAGATAATACAGTTTTCTTGTTCCTGGCATTAGCTATTCATTGTTTGTCTTCCCACCAAGGTGTTGGCTTTCGAGGGCAGGGATCTTTGCCTGTGTTGTTCCCCAGGTAGCCTGGAGGCTAGAACAGTGCCTGGCCGTGGTAGGCGCACAGTGAATATTCACAGGTCAGGCGCGGGTCACGAATGCACGAATGAATTACGTCCCACTCGCTACCAGAGCCCGAGCCACACAGAAACCGGCTCCCAGCCCTCCCCGTGGGGCCTGTGAGTAGGCGCTGGGTCTCTCTGATGTATGCAGAGTGCAGGTTTGTTTTAAAACAATCCACGTTCTAATTACCTCTAATTACCTGTCAAACGCAAGACAACCTGAATGCTCTGGAAACTCAGAGCCTTCCCCAGCCCCGTCCCCAGCTCACCTCTGCTGAGCAGCAAGACACAGACTGGTGGCAACGGCAGGTTCCTGTCCCGTTATCAGAAATCCAGAGGCCAGAGTCAGGGCCTTTCTGGCAACTGGACATCACCTGCAGTAACAGCTGTGTGGCCACACTGAGCTCCCACCACTT